CTCAGTTTAAAGAGTAAACTAGTTTACTCTTTAAACTGAGGATGTTTTTCAATTTCAGGAGACTTTCTACATTTCAGATGGAAATATTCCGTCTCTCTTCATTCTGCTGAACCTATCTGACGGCAGCAGGTTTGAATAATGAAGTGAAGAAATATTCAGGTGTGTTATGTTCAGTCTTTCATCTGATGACCTGTTGATGAGACCAGCAGGTGATCCTCCACGTTGATCCTTTATCTGAAAACATCAGCAGGCTCATGTGGAGACGTCTACAGCGCTGTCCGTGGTGCTGAAGCAGCAGACGGATTTGTAATTGTTGTTATTTATCTGAGTCAGTTACGTGTTTATCTATAATATTATCTTAACTACAACACTTCGCTTGCAACGATTATTCCATTAGTTGTCAACTATTATAATAATCGCCAACTATTAATATAAGATAATCAGTTAAAGTGATGTTTTGATTAAAAAAGTCTAAATTCTCAGATTCCAGCTTCTTAAATGTGACTTTCTTTTGTTTCTTTCTTTCCTCCTCTTTCATGACCAACTGAATATCTTTGTGGACAAAACAAGACATTTGAGGACGTCATGGTTTAGATTCATCAACAACAAAAATAATTGTTAGTTGCAGCCCCAGCCTGGTGTGCAGGAGCTCTGTGACCATCTTTAAGATTTCAGGAACGTTAGAATGCTGCATTGATTTCCACGTTAGTGAAATCAAGTTGAGTAGAGTGTAGAGCAGCATGCAGACATCACACAGACACGAAGGAAGGGAACTCTTCCATCATCTGATACGAGTCCTAGATGACCAAAAGACGTCACGGTCTTTCTTCCTCCTCTGACCGTCCTCTTCCTCTGCAGGTACCTGGTGCTGGAGCACGTCTCCGGGGGGGAGCTGTTCGACTACCTGGTGAAAAAGGGCCGGCTAACGCCTAAAGAGGCCCGGAAGTTCTTCAGACAGATCATCTCAGCGCTGGACTTCTGCCACAGCCACTCCATATGGTGTGTTTACTCTCACAGAGAATATATATATTATTATTATAAATGTTTAGGAAACAAATTTAAACCAAAATAGATGTGACATTGTTTGCTAGCTAGCTAAAAGGTCCGTTAGTCAGTGACTCGTGATGACCCCGCAGAGAAGATCTAATTCAAGATAAGATTTCATTTTATTATTTATTAACTTTCCAGAACGCCAGTGAAAGAGAAAGAAGCGACACTTTGTTACGTAGAAGTGTTCATTCAGAAGGAAACAGGAAGCCTTTTATCTGAAGAGATTCTTTAGCTGCAGAACTTTTCCAGAAGTGAAACGTCTTCATGAAGTCCAGTTGACTCAGTGCCTCTAGATGTCCTCTGTGCTCCACGTCTGACTTATGGAAGATTTCGGAAGCACTTTCACCAAAAACTGGCTCAGGTTCTAGGAATAAACCAACATAATGTGTCCGAAAGATTGAAGGTTTACAGCCACTGAAAACAGAGATGTGTAATACAGCTTTATAAAGACACAAATATTCTACGGTTGTATGAAGAAGAACCACTGTTACCGTTGTTTTCACCGTTAGCACTGTTAGCGCTGTTAGCACAGTTAGCTGCTAGCCTCCGGCTCATGTTGAGAGACAAAAAAATAAATACAAGTTAACTGATCAAAGTTTTAAGAATTGGATACATTTTGAATAGATTTATAGCTGGTGGAGGTCTGGAGGGAAGAAGAGCTTCCTGTTGTCCTTCAGATGTAAAGAAGGTTTTTAATTCAGATGAAGATTTGTGTTTCCTGTCGTCCTCCAGCCACAGAGATCTGAAGCCCGAGAACTTGTTGTTGGACGAGAAGAACAACATCAGGATAGCAGACTTTGGCATGGCGTCTCTGCAGGTCGGGGACAGTCTGCTGGAGACCAGCTGTGGGTGAGTACGAGTCAATCTCAGGTCCAGAGACTGGTTTAGAGTCCTGAACAACGCTCTTTGTTACTGTTCTAAACAATGGTGATACTCTGAAGAGGAGGATCTACTGTTACTTCTGTAAACCTGTGTCCTTCCTCTTGTTGACTCACCGTTCTTCATGTACATAACGCTCTATTTGTGACTGGATATAAAAAGAAATAATGACACGACGAGCCTTTACTTCCGTCTCTGTTGCACCTCTTACTAATAAATATAGGTCTTGTCAAGTAAATCCACGACAGTCGTTGATGTCATGAACAGGATCTGTTGAAGCGCTCCAGAGAACAAGGTTGATGAGTTGACTGGTTACAAGAATTATGGTTTTCTTTCTTGTCTTTTCTCTTTCAGAGAGATGTTACTGAATGTACCAAGACTCTGAGCCTCATTATGACTCATCAGGAGTTATTTAAGTTGTTTTTGAGACATAAGTACAGTGATGTACTTATATTTAGCAATATATTTACATGTTGATGGTCCAGCTGGGAAGCTCACCCAAAACGTATTATTTTAGTTTTCCTGGTGATTCCTCATCAGAGTGTTTGTGTTGAACCTCTGAGTCTCTCTGAAGTCTCACCTCGACGTCAGAGACACGTTCTCGACTGACTGTAACCTGAACAGTTTATTCTGTGATTTAAAGGTTAAAACTCCACCAGTGTTGTAAATCTGAAATATCAAACATGTGCTGAGGAGGACGGTGTGATTCGGTCAAAGGTTCAGGAACAGGCCAGTACGAGGGTCTTGACTTGAGACTGAAAATACCCAAAATACATAAAGTTATTTCAATAGCATGTCAAGTATAATTCAACATGTAATTAGGATCTGCCTTCCTTAAGAGTTCAGATATCAAAGATATCGAAAATAAATGTCTGGCCAAAAGGGACGAATTTAATCTTTATTCAAGAAGAACGTTTTATTTTTTACCCAAAAAACTGTTTGTGGGGGTCCTTTGGGGCCCACATCTCTTCTTGTGGGGGTCCTTTGGGGCCCACATCTCTGTTTGTGGGGGTCCTTTGGGGCCCACATCTCAGATCCAGCTTACGTTTTGTTGCTGCTGTAACCCGACTCCAGCGATCAGTGCAGAAGAAGCAGAAGACTCAGATTGCTCCTCCGCTCTTCAGCGATGAAGACTGTTTTTTCATTAAAGGATAAATGTCATCGTGTGAGTAACAAGTCGGACGACTCGTGACTCGTCCACTTGTGTCATTAAATGTCACTCAGTGGCCTCGAGCCGGCGGATGAAGATCAGCTCTGCTGTAATTAGATTTCAGTGTGTGTTGAATGTGTGAGTAGTGAGATTATCCGGTTCTAACGTGCGTTAGCATGATGAAGGGTGTTCACTGTTAGAGGAAGACCAGACGAGTGCTCCTCACTGCAGCGTGGCATTATGGGGATTATTCAGGAGACACACAGATGCATTAAGTTGACTTCATGACTGTAGCTCCAGTCAGGTCCCTTTAACCGCCTCTACTCCTTCATCACTCCTCTTCATTTATTCTGTTTCTACCGGGACTCCGTTTAAGTTGGATCAGAAAAAATATAACTTTATAGATTCTTGTGCCAGAGATTCATCAAAGATTACAACAGAAGAATACGAATATATATATAAGTAATGAAGTAATAAATATGAAGTGTATAAGACGTTATAACAACACAGTGCAAAATAGAATCGCAAAGGTACCATGAACTTAGTAAAATGATTAATATAATGAACCAGAAGAGGACGAAGTAGGACTCACGTCAGATACTAGAACAGTTGATATTAAGAGTAGTATTGTGAAGGAACAGGAACTTTGTCACATTGTGGAAACATTCTGTCGTCTGTTGTCCAACAGAGGACTCTCGCTTATTTTGGATCGTTGTGTAACACTAAAAGTAATAAATAATCCCATCAGGCAGAGAAGTAGATGTTTGATGATGATGATGATGATGATGATGTCGTCGGGTCTGTTGCTTGTGTAACGTTGTGACTTCTTTATTCCTCAGATCTCCTCACTACGCCTGCCCAGAGGTGATCAGGGTGAGTGCTCTCTCTCTGAAAGGCTGTTACATCATCACTGCCCCCACTGGGGGGGGATCAGCTGTTTGATGGCAGTTCTTTGTTTCCGTACTTCCTGTTCCTCCTGAGGACCGAACCGAAGATGTTTCGTTATTCCTTTCAGATCTTGTTTTTATTCCTTTTCTGTTTTGTAAATGAGAAATGAGAGCGTATGTTGGCTTTTACTTTGAAAGGGTCTTTTTTCTTTTTATTGTTGGACGACTGTTTTAGAACTAACGGACAATAGTGAAGAGGTTATGATGTGAGACTCAGCTCTCTATCTCTCTCTCTCTCTCTCTCTGTCTGTCTGTCTGTCTGTCTGTCTCTCTCTATCTCTCTCTCTCTCTGTCTCTATCTCTCTCTCTCTCTCTCTCTGTCTGTCTGTCTCTATCTCTGTCTGTCTGTCTCTATCTCTCTCTCTGTCTGTCTGTCTGTCTCTATCTCTATCTCTCTCTATCTCTCTCTCTCTCTCTCTCTCTCTCTCTCTCTCTCTCTCTCTCTCT